AGTTGACCGACCGTACAATTTTTTTGAGAATGAACGGGGTGGAGAAAATGCTAAATTGAATGGGGTTGTGACACAACAGGTGTAAAGTGGGACTGTCCTGGGGAAAACAGCTGTATGGTCATCCTAGTTATAAAACAGTGTTGCCAGATAGTCAGTCATCCAAAATCTGCCTGAAAGGATTTGTTGCCCAACAGAAAAGCTAGTACTCTAAAAATTAAAAAGTTCTAACTAAAAATTTTTTTATTGAGCTAAAATTTATCTCCTTGCAACTACTAACTCTTCTTCCCAGTTTTGCCCTTTGGTAATAAATGTAGTCAGAATATGGCAGTATACAACATATATTAGTTCTTTAGAAACTTTTTAAAATAAACAACTATAGAGATAGCTTGTTTTTTATCTCCCAGAAATCTTACAGTTCTGCCCTGTAGTTCAATTTCTGTGCCCAAACTGAAACAGAAAAGAAGAGAAAAGAAATGAGAAGAAAGGTGAAAAAAAAGACCACACAACTGGTTAACCTACCAGGCCCTGGTACAGGGCACTGTTCACTAAACAACACTTGATTGCACTTCCATAATTCTCATCTTGGTATGTTTAGAAAACATTCAGTGAGATCTCTAGCTTCTCAAAAATAAAGTTTCTAGTTATTACATTAGTATTTTATCACCTTAAAATAGAAGAAAGGGATATGTATAGGAGACACGCCAATTAAAGTAAAAGAAACAATAGTTTATACACAGGAAGGCTAGACCTCCAGCTAGCTAATCATAATGATTACAGTTTCCTTATTAAAAATACTTAATATACATCTATAAAAACCAGCGATAGATACGTTTAACAAAGCCCTCTTGTCATCCTTTTACCCTTCAGACTAAAAAACTGTGGTTTAGTGTGCAACTTTTCATCACCCTGGTCACTAGATTAAAGATATGTTAATTTTCATGTGCTATTGCCCACATTTTTTTCCAGGAGGCTCATAAATAGGACAAGCTGGGAGGATAACTTTCTTTTTTTTTTTTTGGCTTGCGGGATCCTAGTTCCCCAACCAGGGATCGAACCCTGCTCCCTCTGCAGTGAAACCTCCAGGGAATTCCCTGGGAAGATAACTTTTGAGGTGATGTGTGGATGGGACAGAGCCTGGTTCATTACTGAATATATGTAGGTCCCACCCCACTCCTCCCCCACCCTTTTTTTTTTTGCTGTTTAGGTAATTGTTATAGAATGTAAAATAGAACCATTTAACAACATAGCAGCATGATTAAGGAAAAATTTCTACAAATTGGCATTGTTTAATTTGATAAACATGTAACTTAATTTGAACCCTTGTAAGAACTTAGTTAAAAGGCAATCAAATGTCGAAAAAATTAAACAATAGTGAATCTAAGAAAATGGAATTTTTTTTTTTTTTTTTGCCGTACGCGGGCCTCTCACTGTTGTGGCCTCTCCCGTTGCGGAGCACAGGCTCCGGACGCGCAGGCTCAGCGGCCATGGCTCACGGGCCCAGCCGCTCCGCGGCATGTGGGATCTTCCTGGACTAGGGCACGAACCCGTGTCCCCTGCATCGGCAGGCAGACTTTCAACCACTGCGCCACCAGGGAAGCCCAAACTGGAGATTTTTATTCGACCCAGTCTAAGGATTATAAGCCGGGAGACAGTCTTTCAGAGAGCTCCTAGGGCTGTTCTGCTGATTAGAGGTCAAAGCACAGTTAGTTATATAAGTTTTTGAGACAAAGTAACATATTGACAGTTTACATAGTGCAACAAAGTGAGTAGTGGGGTCATTGTGACTTTACAGAATTGAGAAAGGAATGTTATCTCCTAAGGAGTTACCTTGCTGGCACCAGATGGAAATTAATATTTTTGAGTGAGGAGGCATTCCT